ATGTTAGTGTAGATATGCAGTTTATAAGTAGAAATTAAGTATAGACGAATTACCATTTNACGTCGAACTCTCAAGTATGATTTCTGACCAGAAACATGCTTTGCGATTCCTAGACCACCACGATCAGAGTTGCGGCACTGTGAAGCAGTAGTACTCCTCGCCTGAGATTCAGGAGTGTCCCAATGCTGCCACATTGAAGCCCAAAGCGTAGGTGTGATCCAAATTGGCCGTTNACCACTATTCTTAGCTTGACTAACTATGNCTCGCATCCNTTTTGTAGCAATCCTCATAAAATACTTCCTTACAAGCNGTGTAATCNCAANATCCCAGTTGTACNTCCGCTACAGAAGGAGTTTAAGTATTAGTAGCGATCTGTTTTAGGAGTATAAATGAAATATAAAAGAAGCATTACTCTAAATCATTACCGCAAAAGTTCTAAAATAGCGTTCCTGTACGTGAATCGNTGTAACNTTCCAGCTATAGTAAGGACCATCAAACTTACGCCAAAATATTCTAGAAATCACACGACTCAATTCACCATCGTCCCGAGTAAACCTTATACATTAATATGAACACATGGTTAAAAAATGTGTGTACTATGAAAAGAAAATAGAATGAGCAAAACATCATGCTTTATCTCTATACACGCATACAATGACCTAAACAGATACAATCAAGCTTTGACATTTTCATTCATGATACAACTACAGTAATACTTTGACACATAACATAAGGCAACTCNGCAATTCATTGTATCATGGTCAGTTCATAGTTCAAGTTCATTAAACAAAAAGAGAGTATTGAAGTTACCATGTCGNCTTCGCNTTGGGGANTGGATGCTCAGACAACCGAACGAGCTGTTCTCAGCCAGGACGATGCATTTGCTCATCCAACAGCTGTTCAAAGTCTTGTAACTCTGGGTTGGGTGCTTGAACCTCATCTTCTTCCCCGAAATCAAGATCATGGTCGGGAAACTGACCATTGTATTCTTCTTGATCTTCCCCGAAATCAAGTTCATGATTTGGGTCAACTAGCGGGTCAACAAGTTGCACGAGAGGAGGAGGTTGATGGTTCTGAACCGAAGATTGGAAGTGACGGGCTGTAGGAGGTTGTGTCGATGGTGGATATTGAGCCGGAAAACTTGTTCTAGAGACAGAAATAGTGTTCTGAGATGAGGATGGGTTAGAAGAATGGGATGATGCTCCACGATTTCCANTGGCGCCTTCGAGTACAGAAAACCCAGCTCTGACCGGCGGTGTGACATCTCGGGCTAAGGTTTCATTAGCTAGNCCGTTTGCTCTAACACCACCGGTTGACAATGTAGGCTCCCTGACGTTGGCTCCAGCACCACCGACTGTCGATCCAACAGGTTTGGCGTTCCCTCTAGGTTCGACTGTCGGTCTAACAGCTCTGCCGTTGGCTCCATGACCACTGGGGTTGACTCCGGCGGCTGTAGATGTGCGACCTTGGCGATTGGTTCCAGCAGCACCGGCTCTCGATGT